TTTCTCTCTGTTCTTCTATCTTTCCCTTAGTGTTGTCTGTCTGTCTCTAGCAAAAACCTACACACTCTGTTAAAAGGGAAAAAAAGAAAACTGAATATATTATTTTCATTTTTTGTTTTTGTAATAAATGGGTATTACTTGCAAGCTAACACCATGGCCACTTTTGTTTTTCACTTTAGTATTTTTTTAGGTATCTCCTTAAGTCATTAAGGTTTAGAGGGTCAGCAAAATGGAGCAGAAGCCTGAGTGAGCAAAAGGCTCCCTCACGTAACTCTCCCAATGTGTGCTCCTGGCTGAATCCTCTGCCTTCACCACTCCTCTAGAAAAACAGGGCCAGAAGTCTCTTTTGTCTTCCCTACTCCGAAATCTCCAAAATCGCACACTCCACAGCTTCTTGCCCTTCTTGCAATTTCTGTTAGTTCATGCCATCTGTCCTCATCAAGAAAGGAAATAGAATTTTTACCTTTACCCATACAATCTTTCTCTTTAAGTTCTCAAATATGCAGCCAGATGACCTAAATCCAGAAGCCAGTATCTGCCTCCCCCAGTGGATGTGAACAGAGGGGCATGAGGGTCACTGTGGCTCACTACTACTGGCAGTTGCCTCTCCTCCAGGAAGGACCAGCTGGAGGGCAGCTGACCCCAGAGACAGTAGCACTCACACTGCTGAGCTATCTGCTCGATTAACCCAAATCCAAGGCTTTCTGCTAAGTTAAAATGAAGTTTCTTCATCAAAGCCAGATTGAATTTGATTTCCTGAAACTTTCAGTCTGAAACATCCTAAAACAATTATTGATTTCCAGGGTTTCAGACACAGAAATAACATATTTTCATTCAACAAATGTTCTTAGAGCATCTGGTGTAAGCCCAGCCTGTCCTCAACACTAAGTACAACAGTAACCATGGCAAAGTGCCTGTTTTCGTGCAGCCTACACTGTAGTGGGAACAGTAGGGTGGCGAGGTATAGACATCACATCTCTGCAGTAACTGTTACCCCAAAACACAAAACTGGAAGGGTAAAGCATGTACACATTCCTGCCAAATCCGGGACACTTAAAATTATAGCGCCCTATGTTCATAATACGAATTCTCAGTTTGTATTTCATGGGAAAAAAATACCCAGGATGAGGCTAAAAATTTCTTGGAACGATATCAGGAGCTACCTAGCTACAATACAAATACACAGCCTCTCGCTTTGTTGCATACAAGCCGGCTGGTCCCTTTGAAACTGGTGGTTGTGAAACCTAGAGAATACAGAAATGTGGAGCAATGAAGAGCAGTGTTCTAAATGCAGTGAATCTTTTTAAATTTCTAATGGTTCTCTCCGCTTTTTTTTTTTTTGAAGAATTATTTTATTCAATTTTATTTGATTATTTTTAAGGAACAGAGCACGGGTGAGAACAAGAATGAGGAAGTGAGACAGCAAGCCACCAGGTCTGGGACTTGAACCACAGTTGGCCATGTGGGAGTCCAGCACCCTTAATCACCATGCCACCTGCCAGACCCTCTCCCACTTTTTAAGCTTATTTCTTTCAAGAGCAAGAGACAGACAAACAACTCCAGCAGGGTCTTGATGCAGAGATTTAGCCCCAGCCTCAGCCAGCCCAGATCAAGGGCACAATTATGCCTAGGGTTCTTAGGGAAGTCTCTGAATACGAACTCAGGACCTTCCAGTGTGGGTCAGCCTTCAGGGCGCCATATTTTACCATTGCATCACCATCTGACCACTCTAATATTATAGTTCTTGACATTAATTTAGCTATATTTGCTGTCATTTTTAACAATAAAATGTCAGACCACTGTTAACAAGGACATTAAAAAGCAACATCATTTATTATGATTGTTGGGCTCAATCATATATGCCTATAAAATTACCATCACCACTGGCATGCATGAAAACAGTCAAAATGGAGTTTTGGATAAAACCTTAAAGACCTAATCTGTTGATTACTAATTACAGATGTCAACATGTGTTTTCTTCAGTGCTTTCTAAGGATGAGGCTAGAGTTCTTTCACTTTTCATGCAGTTGAGGCTCAAAAGATGTCAACAAGGAGAAAAAGGATAGCTGACTTGGGAATCAATTCCTGAAGTCAAGACTGAAAAAGAAGAACACAGAAACTTCTACACCAAGAGGACATTATAAACATCTTTGGTGTGCTTATACACAAAACTATTAAAGAAAGAGAAAGTCAGGTTATTACAAGACAGGAAGACACTTACAATGGAGTTAGCAACAGAAACTCATGACTTACTGAAAGAAGGTAATTCTTCTGCTTACTCAATAGCTTCTTATCTGTTATCGTCCTGTCTACCTTAAGTCATTAAATGGAACCAATCTCAGGTATCTCCCCCAGTGCCCTGATTTTTATCTCTAACACTAGTCTGCTCTAAAAAGGGTCAGTGCTCCTTGACAATGAGCTGGTTACAACTTAAGGGCAGAATACCTTAACATGTGCTTGTTAAAAAACAAAGACAATTTCTGTGCCTTTATTAAAGACACAGACAGGGTGTCTCATGTCCAGATTGTAACGTGTCAAATTCAAAGTCATAATTACAGTTCACTAGAAACAACTGAGGCTGAAAGACATCCTGAGCATAAATTATTAAAATGGGATACACTACTACCAAATGTGTTAAAGATATACTTCAAATGTGAGTTAAATTTCACATGATTGAGGACAGGGAAATTAGTTTTAAAAAATGGAAACATAGGGCCTACAGGTGATGTGGTAGTTCAAGCACTGGACTCCCCATTGCCAACCACAGCTCACGTCTCAGACCTGGTGGTTTTAAAGACACCAGGCACATGTGCATGCATACTAGAAATCTCAGGAGGAGAATGGAAGAGAAGGGATTGCAACGTAGTGGGGTGATTTCTCATTTTCCATATCACTGTCTCTCCCTTTCTCTCCAATGAGTGCACTTGCCCTATGGTAAAAACCTAAAAAAAAGGAAAGAAAAAGGGAAACAATCTGACTAGAACAATATCTCCAAATGGATCACTCAAACAGTTATTGTGTAAGGGATATTTGCTACATTTATTCCCTAAGAGGTTAGGACTTCCCTGTAGTAATGACAAAAAATTTAAAATAGACTTCAGCCTGAGAGATGGAGTGTACCGCACTTCCAGTAGCAGGGGAGACTGGCAGAATGGGCTTCCAACTAGCCTACACTGAAGCTGCTGGACACATGGACCCACACACTGAGGAATGTGCTAAGTTGGGTTACCCGCACTTTCTGGCAGGCAGCTCCACATCAGTCTCAGAAGCTGGAAAAAGCCAAGAGGATATTAAAGTCCCACAATTATGAGAGCTTCCTAGGTGCACTGTGGGCTCTTTGCCTGCTCAGACAGCATTGCCTGCCATAGGTCTCTTTTTGAGGAACCAAAGCTGGGCACTCTGCCCATCTGGCAGAGAGGGCAAGGTGTGGAATCCGAGTGCAGGAGGAAAAGCTCTTTGTCTCCATTAGAGATGTGCATCGTCTGTGTTACTGTGAAGTCACGCTGTCTGTCTCACCAAGAAGAGCCTGAGTTTTGTTTCCCCATATAACCTTTCTCTCACACATTTAAATTCTCAAACAAGCAAGCCCATTGGCTCAATCCCCACCTAATAGAGAATCATACCTGTCACTGGCCCCCACCACCAGCAGCAACCCACTCTCACTTCTGCTTCCCAACCCAGGGCAGCATATAACACATCCCAGGCCCTCTGCACTGGGCAGAAAAAAATAAGATACAATGGGGGGCAACAAGTCCTGACATAAGCAGCTACCAACTGCTGCTCCTAAACAACCCAGTTCACCTCTACTGGACTGCAGTGAAACATCCCTACCTAAAGTCTGTCCCCTGCCAGGATCCTCCACACATGCTGAGCTCTGACCACAGCACAGAGGAGGGAACACTGACTACCTGTCCTTAGTCTCCCTGATATGCACAGGTCACTGCCTCACAGCGGTACCCCACATCCATCCACCCAGACACACTCCTGGTCCTGGGTTCCTGTTAGCCTGCCCTGCCTTGAGCTGACCTGGGACCCAGGGCTTCTGGAGGAAAAACAAAAAAAGCAGACTTTAAGCAACCATCTTTCATTTTTCTTCCTCCATACGTATTTCTAGTGAATCCATGCTTCTTGTCTGTTACTAAACATTATAACTCACAGGAGTTATTTTCAAAGGCAAGAGACATAAAAGTGACATCAAATGTGGATCGAGGACAAAAGACATGCCAATAATGTGAAGATCACCCATGCTGGCGATCACTATTCCAATGTTAACAACAGAGTAGCACACACAGCTGGCTTGGCCCTCTTGAAATGCAACTGTTGGGTCATCAGATAAATCATGAGTATTTTTTGTTTTTCTATGCAAAAATGTGTCAGGACTTTTCCAATGACCCAGTAAAACCAAAGTAAAGAAGAAAACAATGCAGAAATCTATAAAGAAAAGAGATCAGCAGCAGAGAAAAAAGAAAATGAGATAGTAACCACACTGTAAAGGTCTTAAAGCAAGCAGCCAACTGGCAACAATCACAAATTTTGGCTTTCTCATTACAGTAATCAAAACACTACAAGCCAGCTCCTGTTGCGGAACACTGGAAAAATTCAGAAATTTCAATTCTTTTTTTTTAAAAGCAAAAAGTAAACATCAAATTTAATTTAAAAGAAATCAGAAATTGTCTGCAAGAACAAGGGAACATCTTTCCGATCACATTTATTGGAAGAGCTGGAGAAAAATAAAAATGCCATCAGCCTAAGAAGTAGAGAGTTATCTATGTATCATCTCATTTAGGAGTGAAAGAATTCTCAGATCATATCAAAGTGCATCCATGTTTCTCCTTTGAAGGTCTTGTACACTTAAAAGGGGCAACTGTACAAAGTCTCCTATTTTTCCATGCAGAACAAATTCTTTGGTTTAGCCTACTCTTAGTGGAGGGGTAACTAGTACACTATCTCCCTGGACGAAGAGCAATGGAATATACCATTTCGCTATGGCAGTCAGTTTCTTCCACATCTCTTAATATCATATTTAAATGGTGATCATAAGCATGTAATCTGCCTCTGAGCTCTCAGTCATTTTCATTTTCATTTTCATGTAAATTCGACAATCCAGGCTGATCCTGATGCGATCCAGGGACTCCTCTACGGTGTTGGTAGATTGCTGCTGATCCATGTGATCCACCATGTTTCAAACCCTCCAGAAACTTTAATTCTGAAGTGGGGAAGTAAATCAGGACAATTTACTGAAAAACTTTAAGGGTCATTAGTGTTGGCTTCATGGTGCAGTAGTAATGTGCTGCCCAAGAGAAGCCAGATCCTGCATGGCAAGAAGGGTTTGAATCCTGACCTAGTCAACACTGGCACCCATGTGAAACACTAGATGACAGCAGAAAGGAGACTGTGGCATGAACAGACCCTGTGGAAGGTGCTCCTCCTTCACTCCCTCCAACCAAGTGTGCACACACATGTGCTACCGCAAATAAAGAAAAAAAATTTCTTAGATTTTTTTTTTCTTTTTAATTTGCTATAGGGCACATGTGCTCATTGGAGACTGAGAGACAGAAAGAGAGAGAGAAAAAGAAAGTGAGAAATCACCTCTGAGGGAGAATGACCATATCCCAAACACGTCTCCATTTTCCTTGGGATTTGGGGTACGCATGCACACATGCTGTAATACCTATCTCTTAAATAGAACAGAAAGCAAGCATCATCACACATTTAAGAAAAGCCCAGAACACAAAGACAGTGATAAAACTGGCGGGGTCGGGGGAGCCTCATAAGAATCAGAGACAATACAGTGAGAGGGGAAAAAAAAAATTATCATCAACGAAATGATACACGACATCTAATTTAAAAATTAAAAAACAGACCTGGGTGTAGTGGCACATACCTGTAATTCCAGTTCACCAGGAGGCTGAGGCAGGAGGACCCTGAGTTCAAGTCCAGCCTGGGCAACATAGGAAATCCCCCACCACCAAAAACAAAAACAAAACAAAACAAAACAAAACAAAACCCGAGTTTCTGTGGCACAGTGGCAATGAGCTGCTCCTGCAATGCTGAATCTGTATGGAAGATCACAGGTTCAGTTACCCAGCAGAACTATACACACTCAGGGGGATGAGGGTGGGGGTTGTGCCCAGAATCTCGGCTGGCTGGAAAGGGGGCAGGTGGATATCATTGTATGAGATCCTATTCAGGGAATTATCTTACTCTATGTCCCTCAATTTCACAAAAGCAGTACATAAACAAAAACGATGCTCTAAAATAGGAATGCCCAGAGCTCTCAGTTAAAAATGATTACCAGAGGGCCGGCAGGTGGCACGGTGGTTAAGGGCGCTGGACCCCCACATGGCCAACTGTGGTTAAGGTCCTGGACCTGGCGGCTTCCTTACTCTCTCTCTCACTCTGTCCCTCTTTGGTCAAATTAAAATACATGACTAAATAAAGTTAAATAATTCTTTTTAAAAAAATGATAAGGAGAGTCAGTCCTTCACGGTAGTTAAGAGAGCTAGATCCCACATGACTAACCACAGTTAGAATCCCAGCCCCAGCAGCTTGAAAAACATGCTAGCCATGTGTGCACATGTACCCAAACCCCTGACAGGAAGGAGGAATCAGGGGGAAAAGTAACTAAAACTAGGAGGACCTCTGCAAGGATGACCACATGGGCATAGGAAGGTTCCAGGTTGGTGTCCAGAGATCTCCCTAAGTGCATTAGCCAAGCATTTGCCTATGATCCAGGGCTGGCTGAGGCTGGATGGAGTGTGAAGTCAAAACCCTGATTGGGGATGCTGTCTTTCTTTCTGTCTGTCTGTCTCTCCCAATCATGGAAGAAATGAACTTTTAAAAGCCCTAGGGATTGGGAGGGGATTACAGAATAAGCCTAGGATATAATATTGTGCTAAAGGAAAATTTCATAAACCACAGAAAAAAAAGAGAAGAAATACTATGCAAACATTCCCCAGAATACGAAGACACATTTCTAGACACAAAAGCACAAGTGTCCAATAGAATTTTTAAAAGGTCCTCTGTAAAGTAAATGACTGAAGTTTCAGAACAGTAGGGGCAAAGAACACAAAAACTTCCCCAAGAGAAAAAGAAGTCACGTATAAAAGATTAGTAATCAGCAAGGCACACAAATCTATCGGCAATGTGAGAAAGCAGTGGAGCTACACTTCCAAAATGCTGAAACCAGAATACTAGACCCAGTCAAACTATTAAATAAAAACAAATTTCATATATGAAAGAAGTCCTAAGATGTACCTTCCATGAACTGTTTCCAGAAGGTAGGGAAGAGTATGTTCTACCAAATGGAGAATAAACCAAAAGAAGCCACAAGATCTGTTCAATAAGGGACCGAGAGAAAAAATTCCCAGAAAAGCTGTGCAGCCAGCCCGAGAAACCCAGTTCAGACCAAAACAGGGCAGCATACTCCAGGGAGAAAGGGAACTGATATTATCTAAGAGGTTTTGACCGGCAGATTGATTGAACAGTGTTTTCCAAGTTAGCAAAAGTCTTATATGGTGGGAAGTCAAAAGATTACATGTAAAACCAGGCCATGGCTTAGTCATTAAGAGAGTTTTATTGTGTTCCGACTCCTGGCCTAGAGGCTAAAAAAATACATGGGCGATTCCATGTCCTAGCAACTATGAATAATGCTGCAATAAATATGGATGTGTGTTTTTCCGACTGTTTCCCTACGCTTTGGGTAGATACCTGAGAGTGGAATTAACAACCCAAATGTCCAAGAACAAACAAGTAGACTGAACAAAGGTGTCACATGTACTCTATGGACTACTACTCAGTCATAAAAAACAATAAGACCCTGATGTTTGATATAAAGTGGACAAATATGGAAGTTTCATGCTAAGCGAAGGAAGCCAGAAAAAAAGGCACCGTATGTCTCCACTTAATACCGAATGTCCACATTTCACAGCACAAACTGAAAGACTGAAAGATGCAGCAGGGAGCCCAGCTGAAGATACAAAAGACAGTATAGATGGGGCCGGCAAGTGGCATGGTGGTTAAGGGCGCTTGACTACCACATGGTCAACTGCAGTTTGAGTCCCAGAGGACCTGGTGGCTTACTTTCTCACTTTCCTTCTCTTTCTCTCTCTGTCCCTCTCTGGCCAAATTAAAAAATAAATAAATAAAGTTAAATAATTTTTTTTTTTTTCCAAAAGGGCAGTATAGAGCAGGGTGGGAAATAGGGGATGGGAGAGAGGGGACCAGGAGATAAAACAAGTAAAACATTTAATAGATACAAAAATGAAAAATAAATCTGCTGATGATAATGTATGTTGTAAGGTCTATGACTTGACTAATATGCACTGTATTCATGATGGGGAAAACCATGTGTACACAGTAAGATGTACAGTGATTAAATGAAATTGAAACAAAATTTTTTTTAAAAAACCACAGTGAGTGAGTGTACCCCAAAATGCCAATAGGATAGAGAAATGAAGAAATCAGCGGGACTCCCACATGGCCAACCACAGTTTGTGTACCAGACCTGGTGGCTTTAAAATCACGCCAGGCGCGTGTGTGTAGGCGCATGTGTGTAGGAACGTGTGTATACATGGCCAAGACCCCAGAAAGAGAATGGAGTCTAAGAAGGGACTGTAGGGTGGCCATCTCCCCAGGGGTGATTTTTCATTTTCCCTCTGACCATCTCTGTCTCCTCCTTCCCCAGCTCAAGCTAGGTCAAAACTTCTTAAAGAAAGGAATGCGCCACGACCATCCCCCTACAGGGGGATCCTTTCTCCCTCTCCTTTTCTCTTTCTCTCTGACCAGTGCGAGCACCCTCTGGCAAATTAAAATATATAATATAAATATATATATATATAAATCAATAGTAATTTTCTTATTTACATATATAAAAGCAACTACTCTAAAAAAGGCAGTCAAAACATTAAAAAACGATTCTCTCTAGTTAAAGGAAAGAGGGTGGAAAATAGACTTTTTCTCTAAGGTTTAAAGCACTATTTGGCTTTCTGATCAATGTATACATATTATTTTGATAAATGCAGACATGTAAGAAGTAACTTAAATTGTCTACAAAATACCAAGGCAAAAAATAAAACCAACATAGATGAAATCAACCTACTTCAACCATCCTTCTTACAGTTCTTTATTTTTGTTATAAATTGGGAAGAACAACTTAAAGACTATCTTTTTTTTTTTTTTAAAACTACCTCAACATAGATGAAATCAACCTACTTCAACCATCCTTCTTACAGTTCTTTATTTTTGTTATAAATTGGGAAGAACAACTTAAAGACTATCTTTTTTTTTTTTTTAAAACTACCTTTAGGACTAGCCGGTGGTGTGGTAGGTAAGGTGGTTGAATCCTACATGGCCCATTCTGCAGTTTGAGTCCCAGAGTCAGTGGCTTGAAAATCACGAGCAGGTGGCATGGTGGTTAAGGCACTAAACTCCCATAAAGTGGACCCCAGTTTGAGTCCCAGATCTGGAGACTTGAATATCACACGGGGCTGTGTGGTCATCCCCCCAGGGATTATTTCTCACTTTCGTTCACTCTGTGCTCTGTCTCTCTCCGGTGAACCCACACACCTTATAGGAAAAAAAAAAAAGAAAGAAAGGAAAGAAGGAAGGAAGGAAAAAGAAAGACTATCTTTAGTAGGCGTGGTTAAGATGTCTAGATCTTACATGGCTGACTGCATAGTTCAGGTTCTGGGCCCAGCAGCTTGAAGAACACACTCAAAATGCCAAGTGGAAAATAGAGAAGGAATTGCAGTGTGGCCTTCCCCAGTAGGGGGTGATTTCTTACTCTCCACCTCCAGTAAGTACACGTGTCTTAGAGCACACTAGAAAAATAAGAAAACGAAACCATAAATGCCTTGTCCTTCAGAGTATCAGGAATTTATTTATAGAATATGATAACACTCTTAAAACATAATTCCAGTAAAGGATTGTAGCCAAGTTCTGAGTTCTTTATGGCAGCCTCACTTAATAAGCATTCATTCACTGTCCACCTACTGCCAGGTACCAACTTGTCTGCTAGGAAGACCCTGCAACACACACAGACTCCTGTCCTCTCAGATACCACTATGAAGGGGAAGATTGCTACCACTCAGAGTAAATACCAGACACAAGAGAAGCCCAGACACACGCCTGCCCAGCCAGAGAGTCTCTTCCCAAATCCCATATCCTACCAATATCCAGCAAAGGGGCCCAGGGTTAGGGACTTCCCAGGGAACATTTCCAAGTATAAGTGCTCCACTATTCCCCTGCATACATAAGCCATTAGGCAAACACACCAAGTACACAGGCATGAAGGCACAGATGTTCTGTGCATACACGTTTTAGTCATTAATCTGTTCAACAGATACTGAAGACCATAAGTAAACAGTTAGTGGTCCCAGCTTGGGCCCTAATCTCCTGCCTGACTCTGGACAAATCACTTCCTCAAATGACACATAAACATATCAACATGTTCCTCCCTCCATCTCTCCACTGGTGAGTACACCCTTTCCTCCTGAAATGGGAGGGACCAAAAAAGTAAGATTCTCTTGAGTCAGGAGTCAGTGGCGTTTGAAAGAATCTTGATTCCCTAAATTTTTTGACATTGTGAAGGTCCCACCTCCTTCCTTTCCCCCATCCATCCTGAAATACCAAGACAGTTATTATTCACTCTTATTATTTATTATTTATGAAGCCGATTCTGTGTAAACTGCTCTACATTTGAGATTAAAAGTTAAAACAAAAACTATGCCAATGCAAAGTAAAAACTCCTGACCTGCAGCGTTCTCCATCTACTTGGGTGATGGAATCAAAAGTGAAAAAAGACATGTAAAATTAAATGTACACCACGCACCTAAAACGAAGACTTTACAAGACCAAAAGCAAGGGGAAAGGAAGTGGGCCATCCCCCTGGGAGCAAAAAAGTCTTCGGGCCCCTTCAGGAGGGAGAGCCATCAGGGCGAAGGAGAACTAAAAATCCTTACAGAGTCTCAAGCCAGGAAGGCCGCAGCGGGGGTTGCCGCCTGGGGAGATCTCAGGCGACAGAAGGCGGAGTTAAACCTGCCAGATGGAGGTCCTGCAGTGGGACCTGAGGAGCACTCCCGAGGAGCCAGAGGGCACAGGGTCTGGCAGTGAGACTTTCGGGAGGGCCCAGGCCGGGAAAGGAGACCCGTCAGGGAGCCAGAAAAAGTGAAAGTACTCTCGAGGAGGGGCGCGGACGGCTGGCCCGGGAGAAGTGGGAAGGGGGGGTGGTAGGCCAGGAGCTGGACAGATGGGAGTGGTACCCTCAAAGGGGCTTCGACTGCTCTTAAGGTGCCTATGACCGGCTGACCCCTAGACGTGGAGGAGCGGGCGATAATGGGAGGGTGGGAGTCGTCTGGGAGAAGCACGAACAGTTCCGAGGGGGCGTGGGGAAGGGGGCTAAGACCGGCTGACCGGAGAAGGGAGTGGACGGGGTCCCCCTCGGAAGAGTGCAGGCGGCTGGAGGGAAGGGAGAGTCTAAGACCGCTGACCTCCGGGAAGTGCAGAGGAAGCCGGAGAGGTGGGGGCCCTAGCCGGGGCGCAGGCGG